AATCGCACTCTCGCCTGCATTTCGCGGACTCGACACGCACGATCTTCGCAGAGGGTTGCGCGGGCACCGGACAAATCGCGCTCTCGCCTGCATTTCGCGCACTCGACACGCACGATCTCCGCAGAGGGTTGCACTTTCGGTTGACGCGGTTCGTCCCACCCTCCGCCTTTAAGAGAGAATTTATAAAGTGGGGAAATGTTTTTCATTAGGACATCTCCCGCGCTAGTTTTCCATGCTCACACTTGCCTATTTCCATGCTCACACTTGCCTACTCGTTGCATGCTTGCATACTCATTGCATGCTTGCATACTCATCATTGCACTTTGCACTTGGACGCTTTCGCTCTTCCACTTACACTGGGGCGCGTAACACTGGGGTACGTATAGCGTTCATGTTGTAGTGCAAGTGTGGTGGAAGTGTCAGTGTAAGTGTAAGTGTCGAAGTGTCAGTGTTCAAGGGATTTTCCGGAAGAACCCTTCGCAATGCTTTCGGGAAAAACACCTCGTCACGCTAAGCCCTTCGCCCGGGTTGGGAAGTCTGGCAGTTCTTGGACTGCTCGGGAGCCTCATCTGTGGTCGCAAGTCGCTGCTGCCGGTTTGCACTTGACACCCATGGCTGGCCTTCTAGACGTAGGATAAAATTTGCCTCGAAAAGCGTGATGTTCAGCTTTCCACCTGACTCACGAGTTTGACACACCATGCGCAAGGCTGTTTGGGGCACTGTGCCTGGCAACAGATTCCAGTTTCCAGATTTCAAGTGTTCCTGTCATCAGCGTCTTCATCTCATCAAGCAGCATATCAAACACATCAGCACAACCGGTCAAAAACTTGCACACCCTCCAATTCTTTGGAGACTTCCTAAGCCACACAAACCATACCCCCACATCGACAGGCCTTCCAGCTAAGCGTACCGTCAGGTTGAAGGACAAAGGTTCCTTTCACCTGGCCCAAAGCGTTTCATCTAGAAACCACGTGTTTCTGAACGTCTTCGAAATGAATTCGCCATACGCTTGGTTTCCCACGTTGACTCATTATTGATGCAAGAGTTGGTCACCAAGCAATAATAGCATCTCTTGCATTATGCTTATCTTTCCGCTTACCGCAACTCTAAATCCATTCACTTTCAAAATACCTTATCGACGCTACGGAGCACCTTTTCTCCCTTGAGCCAAAACAAGTCAAGTCCTTAGCCAAGAACTGTACAAGCGGAATATATATGGGCTATAGATTTCGACACTCCTCCTCTTGCGAAGAGATTTATTAACTTTGAGTACGCTATACAAAAAAGTGAAACTTCTTCTCTCCAGGAACATGGGCAACTTTGAGATGTCTCTCGGCTTCCCGCGCTTGTAGCCACAAATACCTCGTTTGGATATGGCGCCCCTTGCAAAGTCCAACTCTCTGTACTGTGCCCTTGGCGGCATTTGAGTCTCCTTCCACGGCGAGTTCCAGTTCCAGTCCAAGATCCTTGCGGGCGCTCCGCAATCCCAGACCTGCTGAACCGCCTTTCACTAGAGCATAGAATTCACTTTCTCCAGTTGGAAGGACGATCGTTGACTGGAAATTGCTGCTGAGACTTGCGCTACATCCGGATACCGCTTGAAGTAACGGATCAGCCGCTTCAGGTCTGCTAAGTTCGCCTCAGTGGGCGTCACCATTCCACGGGCGAGGTTCTTCACTGCATGTCCTATGTCCAGGCGATCTTGCGCCACGCACGCCGCTCCCATGGTTGCGGATCTGTACCGCGATGCCTCTGTACAGTGGGCTTCGGGCTTCTAGCGGCTGCTGATTCGAAGATTTCTTGATGTCGGGTGACTCGACACCATTTGCTTTTTCCAATAACCAAATGTCTGGGTGAAGAGGTCCACACGCCGTCGATCAGCTTCGATCACGACAGAGCTTTATCGCCATTCTTTTCGTCGATGCGGATACACCGATTTAGGAAAATGAGCTTCCCTTTGGTCTCCATCCTCATCTCCAAGAATACCAAAACATTTCAGCCCATAGGCCTCACTGAGAACTTGTCCAAGCTTGCGCAGGTGAGTTGCAACTCCCAAGGCTAGGAATCATCACCTTGAACCATCACTTGGGCGCCCCAGTCCACGGGAGAAAACCGACGCATTTGAGACTCCTCTACGGAGCCCGGCCTTCTGCAAGGTTTCCGTGTAATGCGTCTGCCAGACGTTCGGGGCCTCTTGCGTTCCGTACGTAGACTTCACAAGAAGTCCACAGCTCTGCCCGTCTTCCTCAAGCAATTCTACGTAGATCTTCCTCTTTGGCGTTCCATAGAGGTGGGCTTGTGAGATGTCCCACAGTCACAACCCCAGCTTCAGCTTCTGGTTGCGGTTCTCTTCGTTGCCCGCAACGAGCATAGCGGTCTCATCGACTCTAAGGGTGGTGCGCTGCTAAAAAGCAAGTTCGCTGGCAACTGCTCCTCTTTGGTCTTTCGCGCTTTGATCTCACGCGCTACCAGTCTGCTCCTATAGTTCGGGTTTGTTGGGTCACCTTTGTTGGTGTCGAACCACTTCACCGGCATCGGGGGCCTTCAAAGCATTCTGTTCTAGGCCTTGTCACATAGACGCCACGCTTGACCTTCAAGTAGTCCATCTCTAGGCGCCTTGCTTCTTTCACTTTCTCTGCCGGGGCAAAACGCAGACTCCTCAGCACTGCTTCCACCAGCTGCGGTGGGTATACCGCTGCTTGTCTTGCGATTCATCCTATCAAGTGGGTGCGCCTGTGCCATGGCGCTTTGAATCGAACCTGTACCTTGGAGTCCTCTCTTGTCTGTTGCCATCATTTGCCATCTGCACATTGGTCCTTTGACCACAAACACTCCATCTTCCTTTGCTAGCGCTTCTATTTTCTTATCTTTCCAGCCTGTTGCGGCCCATGGGGCTTCATGAAGGAACCGGCGATTCCTCGGAGACCTATTCCACGCTGCCGCGGCCTCCTTCAGGGCCACGATGGATAGCTCTCCAGGCGACTTGAGTACCACTTTCCTGTACCCAAGATTCCGCAAGAAGATTGCAACACCAACTCGGTCGCATACGGCGTCGGTCCCTTCGAGTCCACGAAGGTCGCCGCTATGGACTGCGTCCTCTCATCCTTCATCACGAGGATCGGCTTCACTCGCTCGTCCTCCACACCGCCTCTGAACATGAACATGTAGTCCATGGGCCGCTGTCGGCAGTAGGCTCTTGGCCTTCTCCTCCTCGGACCTTGTCCCACACCTCGTCCAGCAACGCAATGCCGGCACCAACCCCTATACTGCACATGGCCTGTCCCCTCGTCCACTTCGATCTCCGGGTCCTCCAGAGCTCTTATTTGGATGGATTTCTCAACCATCAACTTCTTCCACCTCTTCATCTTTTTACTTGCTCCTCCGGATCAGGTCGGCCTGTATCCGTTGAAGCTCTCGTTCCGCCATTTGCAGCATTCAACTCCGCAATGGCGTTGCCTTCTCAAAGGAGCGTACTCCATGACCATTCAGATTGCCCTTGCTTGTATAATGCATCAAGTATGTCTTCCGCAATGGCGTCTAGGGGCATGACCTGCTTTGCGATGCGCTGGAATAGGGTGCGATTGGCAAGGACAAAAGTTTCCCTTTCCGCTGGGAAAAAACAGGTCAAGGCAGTCTCGAACTCAGCAAGGGGTACATCATTGTTGTCATGGTGGGTGATTGGTAAGCCAATCCCCCCTGCCACCTGTGCCCATGGAACGAACAGACAAGGCGGTGTTAGCTGTGGACTAACAACGGCATCAACCACCATTGGGGGACGTGGTCTTCGGGCGCAATGGAGACTGGGGCGTGTTGGACATCACGCCCATGGCCTCCGACGGCTGCTGTGTTACTGGTAGAAGTGATACACTCCCTGCTCTTGATAGACAGGGATCCAATTCCGCTGCTCTGCAGCACTCGCGTTCTCCAGATTCTTCTGGACAGCTATTCCTACTCTGGACTCTTGCCGAATCAAGGTTCCGCCATTCACATCAAGCACTGCAATCCTTCCAAAGCTAAGCACTTGGACGCTGAAATCAATGGTTTGCGAACCAACTCTCCTGATGCAGTCTTGAACGCAACTCCTCCCCTGCTTCAGTGTCCATGAACTTCACTGGCGGACGAAACGTCCATTCCAACCCCACTCAAGTCTGCCATGAGCATTCCGACATCTGGAAAGGAGGTTCAACCCGCCAGTTTGCGAGCTCTTGTTCTTTGGCCCTATCTTTGATCTTCTGGTTCAAATTGAAGTTCAGCCCCAAACTTCGCGGCCCCTCGATTCGTCGCGGCCGGACCGCCTTGATTGCGGTTTGCCTGGCTGAACGCAGCCTCCATGGGCTTCTCGCTCGCAACCTCACGGGCGATCGCCCTCGGCCTTGGGCGGATTCTTCTTTCTCCTCTTCCTCTTCTTTTGGCCCTTCTTCCTCACGATCCCTTCGAGCTTTACGCTGCTCTATTTGCTCCTCACCTTCCTCCTTGATCTCACTCTGCGGCCGCAGTCGGCCGAAATCCTTCACTCTGTCTTTGACCTCTTGAGTGATTCCTCCCTTCTTACTTTGAAGCCTGATGTAATCTTTCAACCTGCTGTATTGGCGCGACACACGGCTTCTCAATCTGAACCTTGTTCTCTGCGAGGTCTGTCCGGGTCGATCGAATCTTTGCGCCTTCTTTGGCTTTGCCTCTTGGCGCCAAGGTGCTGTTGCAAGTGCCCTTTCATCTGCTGAATTTCAACTCCCAGCTCGTCCCCCGGCACAGATGGCAGCTCTTCTTCTTGCTGCCCGGCCGAACCGGCTTGGTCAGGATCACAGCAGTACACACGCCTTCTTCTTCTTCTGCTTCTTCTTCTTCTGCTTCTTCTTCTTCTTTGGATTCTTTCTCTCCCTCGTACTTTTCTGTGGTGATCTCGGTTTCAAGCTATTGTTCAAGCAAAGGTTCTTCTTCTTCCTCTTTCTTCTCTTCCTTGCCGTCCTCCTCTTCTTTCTTTTCCTCTGGCTCGGTCGCCGGCGCGGCTGGCGCAGCCGCTTCCGACCCCGGCCCTTCTTCCTCGATCCACTCCTCCTCTGAAGGGAATTCGGCTTTGCTGCGCCGTTCCTCTCTTTACTCTCAACGCGTGGTCCCTTTCACTCTCGCCGGGCCTTCGCGCTACCGTCAAAATACCTTATCGACGCTACGGAGCGCCTCTTCTCGCTTGAGCCAAAACAAGTAAAGTCCTTAGTCAAGAACTGTACAAGCGAAGTATATATGGGCTATACATTCGACACATTTTTGGGTATATATATATAACAATAAAATAAATACATAATCAAAGAAATAGATAATAAAAATAAATAAACAAATAAGTAATTACTCTCAAAAGTATTTGATTTCCTGCGCGGCATTATTTTTGATAGCCCTTAGCCAATTGCAATAGCGCGACGTTCATATCTGGACAAACCTTGTTTCGCAAAGCAACGCGGACACACCAGTGGCCCAATCGGTTTTCGCGTACCTCGTTTCCATCAGGCGCCCAGGACCAAAGTGAGCCAGGGATATGCGCCACACCCTTCAAAGCAAAGCACAACTTCAAAAAAGGATGTCAATTCCTCACTGAGAGTTTCTCGGGGCACCAAGCTCAAGGCCAAGTCTCTCTTGCTAACGACAATGCTTCCATCGGGACTGACCCTTACCTTCGGTCACAAACAAGCTGAACGTCATCCTCTCAAGTCAACCAGGGGCTGATTCAGGTACGGACCTTCACCTGGCGAACGGAAAAAGGAAGACTACTACTACTACTACTACTCCTGCTGCTACTACTACTACTGCTACTTGCTACTTGCTACTTGCTACTACTGCTGCCAGATCTCGTGGCATTGTGGGCTTTAGAACTTGAGCGCTGGCGCCGCTGCAGGTTCTGCTGCAAGTGCCGCTGCCAGATGTTGATGGCAGCGCGCACTTGTGGAGGTTGACTGCTGGCGCCGCTGCAGTGCACGCGTTGGAAGCTGCGCGCTGGTGCCACTGCAGGCGTCGCTGCTAGATGTCCATGGCAATCTGTTGGGCGTTGCGCGGCGGCGCCCCTGCAGGTGCTGCAGCTGTATGCTCATTGTCATAGCAGTGCGCTTCGCAGCCAAGGGCGCTGCAGGCGCCGCTGCTAGATGTCCACACCTGTCAGTGTGCGCTTGTGGAGGTTGGGCGCTGGCGCCGCTGCGGGGTCGAGCAGCCACGTGTTCATGGCAGCGGGCTTCGCTGCAGGCTGCCGCTGCTAGATGTTTATGGCCGTGCGCTTGTGGGCGCCGCCTCTTGGGCGCGGCCCGAAAATAGGTTGCTAGTTGAAAGTCATCACTTCCCTTGCCATCAAGTGAATCTGATCTTTTCCTTTCAGCGGGACAGCTCCTCACCAGTTTGAGAGCATACCAACATAAGCCACATCGCTGACTTCACTTCTCGCAATGGTGGTTGCTCTCCCTGCCCACGTTCCTGTTGCTCTCCCTCTCCGAAGAGATCAATCACTTCCTCCTGTTCCATGTCTCCTCTGTCCAGTGCATGAGGGTTACGGTCAGTGGTTCTCTTCCGCGCAATGGCCTCTCAGATTGCACCCATAGATCTTGGGCTCTGGTACTTCTTGCCCAGATGCACTCCAATCCACATTTCTCCTTCTTGCTTCCAACCACTCTGGAACTTCGCTCGCTTCTCCACGTCGTCCAAAAGCCGTGCTTTCAGGCCCTCCTCCATGTGAGCCTCTGCACCGATAGCACGTACACGACAGTCAGCCACCAAGCTCTTGTTTTGCAACCTCAATGGTATGCGAACTTGATTTCCCTCAGGCCTTCCAAAGACCAAAGCATGATCACATCCATCTATCCCCCATCCGCTCTCCATCCATTTGCCGTAGGAGATGATCGGTTGGGAGATACCCTCAGCAAAGTGCGCTTTCTCCCGGATGAGGATTGTCTTCCCATCTTCTGCTGTGAAGACGAAGCTGACATTCTTGTAACCCTTAATAGGAATCCTTTCTCCTTGAGCATCTTGAAGTCTTGGCGCCTTCTCCAGGCAGGATTGTAGCATCGGCCCCCGAGTCCACGATCACCTGACAAAGCCCCTCGTCGTCCTCGAAGTACTGCTCCTCCTCTTCCTCATTTTGCACCACCCTGACTCCATAGGCCAGCTCACTCTCAGAGCCATTCTCATCCGTGTCTTCAGCCGCCAAGTGAGTGATAGAACTTGATCATCCGCACTGTGCCTTCACTTGTATTCGGACTCAAACCAAAAATCATCACCTCATCAAATTCTCGTGCATTCTGTGAAACTTCCTCCTCCACAAACTCAACGCGCTTGATGCCAGGTTGCTTCGTAGTTGTTGCCTGGCATGAGCTCGTTGTCAATGTCGTGGCAGTGTCACTCGGTGAACCATGACTATCCACCACTTGCCGTACTTTCCTCCAACAATCTCGGGCTAAGTGGCCTGGTTTGCCACAAACGAAGCACTCTCTGACAGCTTGCGGGGACTTTCCCGAACCTTTGCTGCCCCCCTGCTTCCAAGATCCCTTTTGTTGGCTTTTGCTTCCAACACCATGGTCTTGGCCTTTCCGCTGGCCCTTTCCCTTGCCTCCTTGCTTGCCACCCTTCTGTTCGCCCTTTCCTTTTCCCTTCACATTCTCTTTCCCTTTTCCTTTTCCAGCTTTACCTCCTCTTCCCTTCTCCATGACCCTGTCGATCTCCATGGGGACTGGACCATCCTTGTTAACTTCTTGGCCCAACATCATGGAATTGTTCCACTTCAGGGTAGCGCTGTCATACTGGATGATGGCTTCCCTCAGTCTGCTGTAGTCGTGCGTCTCAGCTACATTCAGCTGTAGCCAAGTCTTCAGTTGCCCAGTCACGCACCTCATGAGGACCGCGAACTTGATGGCGTCGTCTAGCTTCATGCTTGAGCAACTGGTTGAGCAGGTTGCCTTCCTTGCCATTAAAAGCGCCCCACTCCAAGATCATGGTCAGGAGACCTAGTGACCTGTTCTTGCTTGCTGGTTCAAGGCTACTGATCAACAATCTGTATGCCTCCAGTCCGTTTGCTTGCTTGACCTGTTTTATCAGGGCTAACGGCCTCTGTCTCACCAGGGATGCCAGGATGGAGTAGAGTTGCTCCTCTGCTTCTCTCGGTCGCCTTATAGAGATGGGTCCACCGGTCTCTCAGGTCGTTCTCTGAGGTCTTTGAAGTCGTTGACGAACTCTCCATGGACGCAAGCCCCAAGTAAAGTCTCTCTCCAGAGACTGAGTTCCTCCTCTCTCGAACCCGGGTTGAACCCGGAGGGCTTTGGAAGAGTCTTGAACCAGGATGGTTCACTCCCTCGCCTTCCCTGCTGCTGGTTCTGGAGGACCTGGGCTGCCTGAGCTGCGGCGCTCGCCGCTTCTGTGGCTTGCATCATTCTTCGGGCCACCTCAGCGCCATCCAAGACCGCTTGCGCTGGTTCACAAAGTCCCGGATGTTCAGGTTGAGGTCCACCAAGGCGCAAGCAAGTGCCCTCCTTCTCTTCCAAGCAACCTTCACCTAGAGGTACCCTCTGGCGCTGATTGCCGATCAGCTTCTCCAAGATCCCTCTGGCTTTGATTGCCAGCCGCTATGGCTTCAGGCACCTCGAGGCAAGGACGTGGCCTGTGAGCCAAGATCCAGGTAGCAGGTCCTGGAGCCTCACACCAGACCTTCAGGAATGGTGATCCTCGGCTCCGCTACCATGCGGACCTTTTGGTGCTGCAAAGGGGTCTGCGGTACACTTGGTTTGTGTGTGTGTGTCATCACGACACTTCATGACATGGTATGAGTGCTTTGCATGTACATTCGCAGAAAGGGAAAGGGAAAGAAAAAGAGAAAGGGAAAGGGAAAGGGGAAGGGGTGAGGGTGGAATCCCCCGCAATGGAGCAGTAAACAGCAATGTTGCCTGTTTACAAAACAGCAGCGTGCTTTCAAAACAGCCTGAAACAGCAGCGTCGACCTGGATCGGCTTACAGACTAACAAGTACACAAGAGCGTGCGAGCGAAGGCGAGCAAGCGGCTTTTCTATCGCACAAGATGAACCTTGAGCCAAATGTTATGGCCGGTTCATACGCATTGCGTAAGAGCATAACAGTAGTAACTATCCATGAAGCAACCGCGAATGGGCGCCCAAAAACAAGAAACAAAACAGACACAAATTTTCTTTGCTATGTAGCACGCTGATCAGTACTATGTACAACTAAGGAGCTTGAGGCATTCTGTACACATGATCTTGCAGATCGAACTGAATTGACCACTAGAGCGGTCTAGAGCATGGCACTCTCGGAACGAACGAAAACGCAAGCGTCGAAAACTTGATGGAAAAATTCGCATCAGCTCTTAACGAGCGTCGCGAGGATCATCTCTGCGGACCCAACGTGTCCCTGCAGGCTGCGATCGACCTCGCTCCGGTTCATGGGTACTGGCTTGGCCGGTAGGTCGGCCTCGTGCCCGCATGTTGCTGCATTCCCTTCGAAGATCGGGCGCAATTCCTGTCGGTGTAGTTGCGGGCCGTGACGACAAGCGGCTCACGCCAGGCCTGATTTGAATCTGGCAATATAATAAGAGGTCGGCGTTGATCAGGTATTGGAACCTTTCTGTCTCCTTCAGGACTGTTTCTTGCGATCTCCAACTGCCGAGTTTACCTCGGACCTCTTCGACCTCGAGTCCGGACTCACGATGGATCTACAAGTTGGGGTGCTTGTTGGGATATCGAAACATGTAGAGCACCAAACAGTCACCGTCGTGCGCTGGGTCTCCTTTGTTTGATCGGTACCATTCTTCAGCATGAATATTGGAGACAACATTGTAGCTGATGCGGTGCTCTAGCTCACGTAAGCTATTCACTGCCGTTAGAATGGCTTCGATGACCTCAGTACACAGGCTTGCGTTGAAATCTGTGTCGGTCTGGCCTGTGAAATTGCGCTGGGCGGCTAAATTGCCTCGCCAGCCAAGATGTCCACCTCTGACGCTAGAGCGGCATAGACAAGTGAGGCGAAATCGGACCGAACAAGATCGTAGCCTCCATTCTCTCGCGCAGCATCCTGCTGTTAATATGGAAATTACAAACTCGGAGTTCATTGCTGTCTAGGCGCGTTAGGTCGTTTCGCGCTGGCAATTGAAACTCCGGCGGAGGCCGATTTGTGGTATCTGCGTTCTCAAAAACGGACGCATCGATCTCGACGATCGGGTTCCCGGACTGGATCAACATGCATGGAACGCAGGACCGTGGGCCAGAGTGGCATCTCTGACTGGGTGAACCCACGTGTGGAACTGTCCATGTTCGGTAGATCGACATCGGCATCTAGCACGGTTTGAGTCATTGCATCCACCTCATCTGTGGTCATGCGTTCTCCGGTAGTCGGATGATAACTGCTATCAGCCACGGTTTGAGGATCGAGTTTACCGTAATGGGTTTGAACGAAAACTGCGTGAGTAAGCCACCGGGGCTCCTGAGGTGGAGCACTGTTCTTCTTGTGGACAGACTCGTAGTGCTGGATGATCTCGAAATAGGTTGTCTCATCACCTCGGGACAGTACCGCTAGAGCGGGAGCACCTTTGGTTGAGCGCATAACTACTCCCCAGGTTTTGCCTTCAATGGCTTCCTGCATACACTCATTGAGGCTCAAACTTGCCGCTTCTTGCAAGATCATGATGTGGCAT